TTACGAAGACAATTAGAAAATGAAAACTTGTTGTACGCATCTTCCATAAAAAGGAAAATCCCCTGTTCATGGCCAATGAAATCAATAGATAGATTCAACTCTTGTTATAAAATTTCGAGTTTGAGTGCAATTTTAATTTACAGTCAAACCTCTCCAAGCCAAATTTTAAGGGACTTGCAGAAAAAATTTATTTAGGCAGGTTTAAGCATTATTTGTGGGTATCTTGGAAGAATTGCTGAAAATTGTTGAGCATATTCTGGACCTTGAATTGCTTTTTAAATAAGTTGAAAGGATGCTGAACTAGGGTGCAAGAGTTCATTTGCCCAATTAGTCTTTCACTTCCATTCAAAACACGTCAAGTTACATTTTTATTGCTTTTCTCTTTCCTGTGTCAAGAAAATAGTACCCAAAATGCTTCCGAAAATTTGACTCACCAAGGTTTGTGAGGAGAAGCCAAACAGTTAAAGAGGTTTTTAATGCGTTGTTTCTCGGGAATTCAGACATGGGGACTTAAAATAAAAAAAATTGACTTATTTGGGAGGTAAGATTTCACTTTGGGAGGTTTGAGTTATCAAGGTTCAACTGTTTATTCTATATTGCAGCACTGTTTGACCCGCGGTTTAGTTGATGGCACATATTTCTTATTGTGGTCATCTTATTGTGGATCACACTGTTTTTATGGTAGCCCTCTTTCATGCACATGATCTTTTGCACAAAACCATATTTCTTCTCATTTTTAATTAGCGCCACTTATGACAAGATATCGACAGTAGCTGGAGACCTGGAAGTGTACAAACGCGAAGACTCAGAAAGCATCAAGTTGGTGTCGAAGACGCATTTGCACAGAAAATATGAACCCGAGACCCGAAAGCATGACATCGCTGTATTGGAACTGGAATCGCCTCATGTACCCGTACCAGGATTCATATCTTTGGCACAATTACCATCTACATCGAGTGCTGATGCAAAGTATTTGCAAAAACCCGTCTCCACGAACGACACTTTGCTCACTTTTGGCTGGAGTGTGGATTACAACAGCGGCGGGGAAATTGGTTCGTCAAAATTGAATCCTGTGTATTTTATTATTTACGCAATAATATGCAGCATAAATTCAGTGGTATTTATAGTTGCTAAATGGGAAATTTTCCTTGCGAAATATTTCATTCCCAACCACATCTCATCCTCCCTGGACATCAGCTCTTTCCAGAAAATGAAATGATTCCTTGAAAGACATACATGAACTATTATTAAATAAATCATGAATAATTATTCTTAAAGATACTGTACATGTTTGTTATACTGTCCGCAAAGTCAAAAACTACAGTTTTCTAATATATTTGGGATTGGTTGTACAGTATATACACTTTAATTTTTGTCTCCATCAAAATGGTGGATTTAAGAATTTTCCAACAAGCTTTTTGGCATTCTGAGTATATTCAGTATTCAGTAAATCCAATTTTTCAGTGTTCTGTACTTTTTCTTGCCTTCTGTTCTTATTCTGCTAAACTGTAACCATTCAGATTTTTGGAAATGTGTGACTGAGTCAGCATGAAAAGCAGTTTCTTACAATTACAAGACAGTTCTGATTTTTTTCCTATTTTTCTCTACATGTGTATGGAACACCTATAATAGCTTCTGTGTTGATCTTCACAAGAAAGATCAAAGAAGCTCATCAGCAAAGAGATCATCAATTCTTCTCACAGTTTCAACTATATTTTGGCTGCAAAAGGAAGTAACCAACTTTTCCAATTGACATTATTGACATCTGAGTGAAAATTAATTTTTTAAAGCATTTTTTCTGCAATCAACTGGGTTCTCTTGAGCTTGACCAAGGATTTGCTCTATATGCTGCAAAAATAGTAATAAGCCCACGATCTGCTGAAAGGAATGTACAGCTGTTTAGAAAAGTTGTGGTTTTCTTCAAGGAGTTTCTTATGAATTTTTCAGTGCCAAGAATTGGATTGAAGCAAGCGTATTTCAAAGCTATTTCGGACGAAGATTGCAATAAGAGATATTCTCAATCATCTGGATTACATTTAAACGAGGACTCCTTTTGCGTCTTGGCAAGGGATGGATCATCATGCTTTGTAAGTGTCATTTTTGCCATATTCTTGAAAATTCCTTGCCTAGTGGATAGATGCTTATATGTACTCATTTACTCTTTCTCGTCGAAATTCAGGGTGAAGATGGTGGCCCCTTGATGGGCAATGGACCCAATTCTTCCCAAGAAACTGTGGTTTATGCAGTCAACTCGAGAGCTGAATATTTTTTTGATGAAAATGTCAAATTGCGATGCAATGGAACTGCGCCAGCCATTGTTACGATGGTGGCACCTTCAGTGAGCTGGATTTCAGACATCATCGACTCTGCGAGAAAACGTTCCAAGTTTTTTTGAAGAGGGGGAAGAATCCAAACTTGCAATCATATTTACCTGAAAAAAAAATTGAGAAGCAACAATTTAGATTAGGTTCAAAAAGAATTCACGTTTTTTTTGTACTGCTCTTTTCCTAACTTGTGTCTTTGGGTTTTGTCAGCTGAAAAACGCGTATATATACAGTACTCATCTTCAAAATTGCATGTATACAGAAAGCTTCAATGTTACGTTCCATGCTAGTACAATATTTATGTACAATATTCACATTACCATAAAATTTCACACAATATTGGATGCCATTAAGCTTTGAATATTTGCCTTTAAAATTTAGATGAAGCCTATACAGTAAAATCTCGTTACAACAAACTTTTTGGGACCGCAGAAAAAGTTTGTTATAACGGATAATTTGTTGTAACGAGATTATGGAAATAAATGCCTGGAAAACTTTTTTCAGCTCAGTTCTGCATATTTTCAGAATCAGGCTTGTTTTCAGTTTAAGAACTCAAATTATTCTTTGAAAAAATCAGTGATTTTCTCCTGAACAAAATTTTTTTTCACTGCTGTTGGGATGTATGATGCCCAGATCCAGAGGCTGAAGAATTGCAGTGCAGTTTGGTGGCAGATACTCCACTTATTGCACATTCATCTAGGCAAAGAAGAATACAGTATTTCCCAAAAACGCAAATAGATTGGTTCAAAAATCACGTGCAAATAAGGAGTGATGTTTTTCTATGCCCATCGAATGTCTTGTATTCCTGATTAACTGTTATTGTAGCTTTATTCATAAAAAAATAAAAACATTTTGAGAAGCTGAGGCAGCCTGAGGGTAGGATATTTGAGAGAAAGTTGATATGTGAACAGTTGTTAGATGAAATTTGTTTGCCTTTTTTTCTTTGTTCATTTTTTGGAATTTTTACGTTTATGGTGCAGTATTTATTGTTGAGAAGCGGTGCGTAATAAAAATATGGGTGCATGATGCAATTGTTATTTTGGCTCGATTTTATTTTACTATTAGGAAAATCCTTCCTCAAAAGGTAGAGAGATCTGTTATTTTTTTACAATTTGTTAGTTCACCTACTGTCCTTTTTTTAATTTCCGGGGCGTAAACCCGTTTTCCTGTTTTTGGTAAAATAGAAACTGTTTTTAAGCCTTTATTGTAGTGTTGAAGCATTTTATTGTCTGGTTCAGATAATATTAATTTAAGAAGACTCGTCGAGCAAAAGTTGTTCCTGTAAAAGGGATTCAATCCTACGCACAAGATTTGTGAGAGAGTATCTTGCTTTTTTTTTCACCGAATCTGAGTGAATCTGTTATGAAAGTTGGAGCCAAATTTTCGGCTGTAAAATCTTCGAGATTTGGAACTTGATGACTGCTGCTGTATTATTGTGCCAAGACGGAATATTTCTTGAGGTTTATTGGGCGAATATAACCTCTGTGTCACTCCAAGAATACTAAATGATGGCAATATAATTGAGAAGGTGCATGCATGCACATAATAATTGCATGCATATTGAGATGTCATCCCTAACATAAATGGTGGCGGTCTTCATAAGATTATTGTTTCAACACTTCTAGATTTGAGGACGTAAAAATTCAATAGATTACTACGCTCATTATTCAAATATGTTTGAATTTATCTGCTAAATATTGAGGATTGAAAATTAAATAGGAATTTGATCATGTCCTGATGCAGGCTGGATGAGACTTACCTGCTTATTGGATGCTCTCGTCAATATTACTGTATATATAGAGACCACCTCATCAAAGCGCTGCGGCACATCAGTGACTCAATATATTCAACATTGTTGGCCAGGGTAAACAAAATTATTCGAAATGGGTTTGAATGTGAATCTTCTCTGCAATTTCGGGGACTGTAAACTTTAATTCGAAGATGTTTTTTGGGATCAGTTGTAGACACTCAGTCCCTGTAGCGCAGTGGATAGCGCGTTGGACTTCTAATCCAAAGGTCCCGGGTTCGAATCCCGGCAGGGATGTCCTGACGGAGGTTATTTTTATTTTGCTGTTTTTAGCATGGAAAACGTTTCAATTGCAAGTTTCATAGAATTTTATTTTTTTAAAAGTAGTTTTGGAAGTCATTCATCAACCTATTCTGTTCCAGTTTTTAAATGTACGGTATACATCATAACAATCCCAGGTTTATGTAATAATCCATTTTTCTTAATCCCAGGAGTGTTGTTGATTTGTTCGAGAAATGATGATAACTACAGAGATCGTCCCTTATAAATTAGTAAGAATGAACTATCAAATTCGAAACTTTTATACAGCAATCGTTTCAGTTTCTTAAACAGGGAATTTCCTCGTCAGGGCAATTTTTTCCATCGAGTAAAACAGCAGCATAATATATTATGTGTAAGAAGTTAGATTCCTGAACAAAAAATAGAAAATCACGCCCTTTCATCCTGCTGTAATATGATGGCCTGGTTACTTCTGTATAATGTATATAATTCGTTTCTCATTATTTGCAGCGTTCGTTTCCAGCTAAATAGTATGACCACTATTTTCAAAAATACTTTTCAAGCTACAGTTTATACATCCACAACAATTGGTTAACAATTGTTTTTGAAGGTATAATATGACATTAAAAAACAATATGGTTATTTGCTAATTTGTTTCCTTCAGAAATACACGTTCTATATATATTTCCATCAACATTTTCAAAACTATGGGCACGGAGAAAATTAAGATCGACTCTCAGATCAAATAAGGAAATAAAACGCATGTTTAACGGATATGTTCCATTCTCCCCCCTTCCCTCCTTATCTTTTGTCCTGCACGCCTCCGTACCACAAAAAATAACGTCGACTCTATACCACGGTTTCTGATTCAGCATCAACAGAAGAAAAGATAACAGATGACGAAGAAATATCATCAGAAGTTATTTAGCACACCATCACTAAAAAAGAAAGACCAATTTGCTACTTCAAATATTTCGCCGCCCAATCCGTTCTGGACGAGCCCCCGGCGGCGATCATTTGTTGTTGCTGTTGCTTCATGCGAAAGCCCTCTAGATCGCTGCCTTTCCAGGAACTTTCCAGAGCAGCATTACTGCCTCCATTCTTGGTGTTTTGTCCAGCAACGTATCTAGCGTTATTCAAGTACCGCTGCTTGGCTGTCATGTTATTCCCGTCTCGTTTTTCATCCGCCTTGATTCGAATGCTCTCACTGAAAATGACCAGAGAGAATTTTGTTATTCGACATGAATCTCATGAAAGCAAAGTTTATCGCAAAAATTAAGTTCTTGGCACTTGGGCGGATTTGTTGTGTGCCAATTTTCCAAACTGTGGGGACATGGTTTAACTCATGACTGTTCGTGATAGGAGAGGGAAAATATTGGGAAAATTCAAGTTTTCCCTGGAAACATTTTTATTCAGAAAAAATTGTCAAGACTAAAAACTGTTTAACCCTTGCTGGTTTGGGATATTGATTCAGCAGCATTCACATGAGTTCATGGATGTTGTTGCAAAAATAAAATAGCATCATTCAATTTGACACACCAAAATCAGAGAACCCAAATTCTCAGTAAAAATCCTCTTTCATTTCATCTCTGTGAGAATCTCAGAAGACCTTGGTTCTCACATTTCTTTCTGGGCCTTCAAGGCTTTATTTTATTGCTAAAATCCTATTGCTGGTTTTTGTCCTTGAATGACAGTTGTCCTGTTATCCAAATTGGCAAAAACCATACATTCCAACTCAAACATTTGCGTGTGTTGTTTCTTGGTGATTCTGCGCAGAAATCACTGATTTTGGACTTACGCATTTTCAACAAATTATACCAACCTTAAAATAGGGTGAATTCTCAACCTGGTCACAGCCCAACCAAAGTCTTGTGTTTCATTTATCAACAGTCAAATTTAAAATTACTATCAATCTTTATTTGTCAAGAAATTCTTCTTGACATATGTTCAGGCTGAATGAGAGGCAAGACAGCACCCATTTTAGTGGTGAAAATGCACAAAATTATGAAATAATGAATGGGACATCAGCTTTTTTGTAAATTCGGAAAAAAAGTTTACGAAATACATTGGGATACTGTGAAGCAGCAAAAACTCAAAAATTGCGAACCTGTTGAAAAGTAAAATGCGAAACATACACACATTATGTATACATACTTGAAAGCATCAGCGAAACTGTCTCCGGAGTCAGGACGTCCCTTGTTATTATTATTCTTGGCCATTTGCACAGGGGCACTTTGTCTGAGTTGCCCTGCCCTCAGGGTTTGGCTTTCATTCAGTCCAGAGGGCCCGAGTTTCTGCCCAACCTGGAAATACGGGTACCGCAGGGACTGACTCGCGGTTGGTCTTTTCCCGGGGTTCCACTTGAGCAGATCCGAGATGAGAGTGACACCTTCCCGCGAAGCCATCGGCACAACTTGTGCTATGGGCGTGGCTGTGAATTGCGGCCACTTGAAGTTCATGGCTTTGGCAAGCTGATGACCTTCTGGCCAATCCCTCTGTTCAAGTCCATAAATACAGCAGGTTTATATGCACCACTTTGAAACTTTCTTATCNTTCATGGCTTTGGCAAGCTGATGACCTTCTGGCCAATCCCTCTGTTCAAGTCCATAAATACAGCAGGTTTATATGCACCACTTTGAAACTTTCTTATCAAATTCAAGTGACTAAATAAAATTCCACATTGCAAATTTATTTTAAATTTAATTGAATTTTTTACTCTATATAAGGTGCATGCCTGGAATTGCGTAGATTAAGTAATATTGATTTTTCAGAGTATATATATATATATATATATGGAGCAAAATGATATTTTATTGCATCATATCCATAATCCCTTCTGCTGCTGTCATAATAGAAAAAAGGACAAAATTTGACTTCAGTACCTTATTATTCCTGCTCACTATGGGTCTGCAATAATATAATTGTTGAAAGATTTTGAAGTGCAATTTTATGTAATTTTTGAACGTCTTGCATGCAGAACTTTACCATATAATCCCACTTGGAAAGCAAAACAATAATAATTGAGATCTTATTAAGAATTGGGTGTTCTGAACTAGCTCAAAAAAGGCAGTGGGAAATTTGACAGGAGAAATTTGATGTGAGACAAAAATTCCCAGCCAGAAAAGTTATTTGGAAGGCATTGGTATTAAGGGAGATTTGCCAGGGATTTTCTTGAAATTTGATTTAGGAAGTTTTTGACTTAGAAAGGTTTGACATATTGTACATTGCTCTGATAGTCTGATCTAACAATGAGCAATTTTTGGGCATCCACCAAAATCTTAACGGTTAAAAATAGAGGAAATTTTATCAGAATATTTGCTGTAAAAGGAACATTCTAAAGTTGGAGTGGAACTATCACAACAGGAGCAACTATACAAACTAGTGTTGTCTTACAATTGGAGAATAAATACCATTTTATTCTCCAATAATCAAAAATAATCAAAAATACATTATAAATACGAACCATATCAGGCGTTCCCATAATGGCACAGATTTTGAAAACCTGGTCAATCTCACTTGAACCAGGGAACAAAGGTCTGAAAGAGTACAGCTCAGCAACAATGCATCCAACAGCCCACAAATCTATGGGTGCGTTGTAATTGGTAGATCTCAACAAAATCTCAGGGGCTCTGTACCTGCAAACGAAATAAATCCGGCACTGAGGATTAGATTCCAGACAGATTATATGTACTGTTATCTTAACTTGCTTGATAAAATATATTTTCTTTGGTCGCGTCAATAAATAAATACAATGTTTCAAAAATATGACTGCACAATATATT